TATAATTTTTTGTCTACATTGAACGAACTATTAGAAGTGTCATCAAGCCACAGTCGCGAAAATTGCAGTATTTTATTTAAATAAATTGAAGTGGGGGAAAGTCAAGTTGCCAAGTGTGCTCCAAAACAAACCAAAGACACAGTAATAGTCAGCGCACAGTAACCGGCTGCACTACACTAGTTTTAACCCCTTAACGCAGTTTTTTTTTTTAAATCCGGCCCAAAAAAAATCTATTTTTTGGTGTAGAATTTTGATATACTGCGCTTTTGTTCCACGGAAAAAGGCTATATTTTATTCTTGAATAAATAAGTGTCATAGCTTACAATCCCACGTAAATGATAAATATCAATAAAACGATCCTTTTTTTTGCTTTCACATTGTTATTTCAATTCTCGATTATACTCGAGCGTGAAAAATTATAGCAGCATAAAATGCAACGCCGCTCGAATTATCTCGAGTGTGTGCACAGTTTAGCCACAGTTTAGCGCGCTCGAATTAACTCGAGCGTACAAGTTAAGGCGTTAATATTTTTCCTATTTCGTATTTCACATTGATACATTTATGTTGATTCGAACCGCAACTAATTTTACCTCGTTTCAAGCGACAATCACAATCGCGAGCGCAGAAAATCCGCCTGGCAACGCGATAGCTTCGAGAAACTCTGACGCGAGAGCGCGGCGAGAGAGAGCGAGAGAGAGAAAGAGAGAGCGCTAGGCTCCCTAAGATAGGAAAGATGCGCAGTCACTCGGCGATCTCAATGAAGTAATAACGGCAATCACACTCACACTCACACTCACTCACTCACTCACTCACACACACACGCGCGCGCGCGCACGCGCACACACACACACACACACACAGAGAGAGAGAGAGAGAGAGAGAGAGAGAGAGAGAGGAGAGAGAGAGAGGAGAGAGAGAGAGAGAGAGAGCTGATAGTCGCGTCGTCGTCGGCGCGAACCGTATAAGGAGAATCTGAACGGTCAGTGTCACACGGTTGGACCATGGACGACACCGGGGACAAACGATTCGAGCATTCCGACATGACTAGGCATACGCGCGCCGGCGATCCGACCAGTCTAGTTTAGCGGCGTGGGATCGGACAACGACTTTCACATGCTAAAATTAGTCGGACAAACGCCGCGCGACAATTCGTAAAAGCAGAGCCGCCACCGGCATCCTCGCCGATGCTCACCGACGACGACGACGACGACGACGACCAACGAGATATTCGCTTATCGATGCGAGACCACCACGGGGCCAAGTGTAACAGGTTACCGTTTCCGGTCCACGTGTCAGCCTTAGTAGGAGCGACATCCTGTTAAGGACTCGTCGTCGTCGGTCATCGACGCTACGGCGACACTCTGCTGGACGCGAACGGGCAGCCACCGAATCGCACGGTGAGCCGATTCCGATTGATCTAGCCGCCAATTATCCTACTTCGAGTTTAAACCGATAACTGGCCGTGGTCCTCGAAGCTTATTACTCGCGGCACACGATCGATCGATCGACGCTAAACCCGCCGCACGGTGGGCCGGAGCGAAGATTTCAGTGACTTTTTGACACAAAAACCTCATTTTCTCATATCGATGTCCAGTCAATTTTTATTGCTTGTTAAATATCAATTACCCTCGAAAGTGGAAATATTAATAAAAATGATCATAAATTGTAGATAGATACGACGATTTAAAGTTGAACGTTTTGAACGCTACATTTCACGCCAAAAAATATGCTTCTTCTCCTCGCAACGTCCTGACGAACCTAATTAATTTTTCCTTCTTTGCTTTCTTTTTTAACATTAGGAAGATCCAGCCCATTGTGCGCCGTGTCGGTCGAAACGAGCGATCTTGCAATTTCTGTTTCGCGAAATCTTTGAAATGATGAATGTTCCTGCGGGAAATTTAATTTAGCGCGACGTTGTACGATTAATTGTCGCGAAGGAAAACTGAAATATTAGGTCTACCGGAAAGTTCTGTGCGTTTTTGAATTGAAATATAACACGATTTTCATACATTTAATAATATTTATTGTAGAATATACTTTCCATCGTTACTTATGACTTCTTGCCAGCGTGATGGCAACTTGTAAATGCCATTTTTCAAAAATGATTTATTTTTAGAGGCGAAGAACTCGACTAGTGCTTGGTTGACATCAGCTTCGGTTTTGAATTTTTTTTCCTGTAAAAAGTTTTGCAAAGAGAGAAACAAGTGATAATCGGAGGGTGCTAGGTCTGGGGAGTATGGTGGATGCGACAGAATTTCCCAGCCTGGCTCTGCGATTTTCTGACGAGTCGCCAAAGCAGCATGTGGCCTGGCATTATCATCGGTATCCATGTTTTCACGATCGCGTCTCGCTTAATAATGACACGAGACATCTTTGTTTCAGTTTATTTAGGAGAGTACACGTGTGTAAATGCAATGATAAAGAGAGATAGTCGTATATGTCTCAAATCAACATGTGCATATGGATTGAAACTCGAAGTGACACTATCGGACAGAACTTTCCGGTAGACCTAATACAAGAACGATGATTCAAAGTGACTACAATGGCGTGATTTTAGATCGAAAGAAAGAGCACGGTTAGACGAAATTTATATTCAAATTCGAGTTTAGCACAGAAAATGTTCGCGGGCGAGACTCGTCATTTTCACTCATTTTCAGCTAAGAAACGATCGAGTGAATTTCTTGTACGGGTTTAATATTGCGACGAAAATGGAGAAGAGCCTAAATACATTCAGTCTCGTCGCTTTTATAAAGCAACTCGCGTTAATCACCTTCGGTGCTCGGTAGAGGTTTAGCGTTAAGACGGCAGAAAGAATTGTAGAGATCGTTCGTTCGGTACAATTGTTTCGTCGAGAGAGAATCCAGTTTCAAGAATACGGTTCGTCGACGCGAAGCATCGCTGCTCGTAAACGAGAACAATCCTGTAGATGAAGAATGCAGAATGATGAATGAAGGAGCGTGAGCTATGAATGCAGCTGAACGAGGGTACGTACTATCTCTGCGACGATGCGGATTCCGTCATCGATAATCTCAATTGCAAAAGTGCGGCATAAGAATCAGTTTTTGTAAGCTAGACACTTTTTGCATTGATCCGAGATCCTGCATTACGCGTATACACAGGGTGCCCCGAAAATGTCTCGCAATCCGGAAATGGGAGGTTCCTGAGGTCATTCGAAGCAACTTTTTCCTTTGCGAAAATTTTCTCCGAGGCTTCGTGTACGAGTTATTAACGAAAAACACTGACCAATAAGAGGCGAGCTCGACTAGCGCGCGGCGGTCCAGCCAACGAGTGCACGGAGCCCAGTTCCGCTCATTGGCTCGGCTGTCTCGCGCCATATGATCACGCCTCTGATTGGTCGCTGTTTTTCGTTTAATAACTCGTAAACGAGGCCGCGGATTGCATTTTCGCTAAGGAAAAAGTTGCTTCAAATGACTTCAGAAATCCCCTACTTTCGGATTGTGGGACACCCTGTATATGTATACAGTATCTTACAATATCTACAGCCCGGATAATCGGAGCAGAGCAATCGTTGCAGTCGAGGAAAAGATGTCGCGAGGTGATTTCACCTACGAACAATGAACGTACCGGAAAGAGATGCAATGAAATTTATTTAACACCTCGGTGCAACGTCTTTTCCTCTTCGTACGTGCAAATCAAAGTTGTGTCGTTCGCATTCCGACGATTCGATTGACCCTACGAATTCGTGTCGCCGACAAAAGAATGCTTCGTCTCTATGTTATTCGTTTTGTCGGGTCGATCGATTGGAAAGTAAGAAAGAATCGAACAAGCCGATAGAAATTTGAAGGGTCGATCGAGTGCTACGTAGAATAAATGGAGGGAACGATGTAGTGTTCGAGGTGAGCATCGATTCTTCCTCCAGCACAGGTATCTTATTGGAGGAAGCACTACGGATGCATCGTTTATGGCGTATATAAGCGACTAATATGCTTTGTACTATCGATACGCTGCTCGACTTCGAGCGACTCTTGCCGAATCCAGTGGGATCCCGCTTCGATCCTGCGCTACGATCTACGTATAAACGATTCGGAAGCCGATCGGTTGCAGTCCATTTTTCTTTGAAAATTTATCGTAGGATCTTCCGCACACTGAATCAATACAGTCGATTTCTTCGTAAACAAACGGCAGATAGCGTTAAACAAAATTGTTCGGTGGGAATTGTTTCCCCTAAAAAGATATTAACATTTTTCTTTCGTTTCTCTTCCGGTTGAATTCGTTCCATCAATTTGCCTTACAATCAAAATTCTGCTCGCGTTATTAGTGGCAGTTATTTTTGTTTTACAGCTGATTTGCAAAATCCTTATTTATCTCAACTTTATGGTTAATGGGCTTACACCGATCGACTTCCGAGTCGACCATATGTACATACGTCGACAAATACAGGGTGTCCCAAAAATGTCTCGCAATTCGAAAGTGGCGGGTTCCTCGGGTCACTTGAAGCAACTTTTTCCTTTACAAAAATTTTCTCCGAGGCATCGTTAACGAGTTATTAACGAAGAACACTGACCAATGAGAGGCGAGCTCGGCTGGCGCGAGACGATCGAGCCAATGAGCGGAACTGGGCTTCCGTGCGCTGGTTGGCTGGGCCGCCTCGCGTCAGCCGTACTCGATTCTTATTGGTCACTGTTTTTCGTTGATAACTCGTTAACGGTGCCTTGGAGAAAATTTTTGTAAAGGAAGAAGCTGCTTCAAATGATCCGAGGAACCCGCCATTTCCGGATTGCGAGACATTTTCGGGGCACCCTGTATATTGCGGAATACCTTGAGCGATCGCGCACGAGTGCTAATCAGGGTGGCTACGCGAAGGAAACCGACCGTTCGAACGCTTTGAAAAGTACGCGAAAATCGATGGAACGATGATCGACGAAGTAACGTTCCTGGATCGAGAAGAATGGTCACCCCGATGGCACTCGAGCGCGGATGACGAGATGGCTCTCGATATAAGAGAAAAGAAATGGAAAAGAAGGAAACTCGTTACTCACCTTGGAGAGTTTCTCGCCCTCGTGGTGCGGCAGCAAGGTCCTCAGCGACTGGAAACCGGCGTTGATGCTCTGCATCCGACGTCGTTCGTTACTGTTGGCGATTTCTCGCCGTATTCGCTTCTCTTGCTCCATGTGGCTGCGCGGTGTAACGCGGCCGACGTTGCTGGTACTATTCCCGTTGCTCAACGCAACGTTTTGACCAGCAACACGGCGTGATATTGCACCGTTGCTCTTCGATTGATGATGCTGTTGTGGCTGTTGTTGCTCCTGCGAATCAACGATCTCAGCGACCGTGGTCACCGAGTCCTCCTCTATCGGGCCGATACCTCTGCAACAGATCAACGATCCGAGTCAGGCCCACTCCTCTCGCTTTTTTCGATCTAAATACACTCCGCGCGCACGCCATTCGAAGTAAATTTTTCCGTAACCCAAATGCAATCTGCGGCTTTGTTCACAAGTTATTAACGAAAAACCCTGACCAACGAGGGGCGCGAGGCGGACGAGCCGACGAGCCAGCCGAGCTCGCCTGTTATTGCTCAGAGTGTTTTTCATTAATAACTCGTGAACAAAGCCGCAGATTGCATTTGCGCCAAGGAAAAATTTACTTCGAATGGCCTCGGGAACCTCTCGTTTATCGATTGCGAATGGCTTTCGGGCACCCGTATATGAGTACAGCAATGTCTCCCTGATTGACGCTCAGATTGTCCACTAAAATGGATAATTTGGGAAGAAGAGATACGATTATTCGAGCCTTGCGGTTTATTTTTATAGTTATAAATTGTCCACAATTATAAAAACGAGCGGCAGGGCTCGAATAATCGTATCTCCTCTTCCCAAATCGTCCATTTTTGCGGAGCGTCAATTAGAGAGACATTACTGTAAAAATTATGAAATAATCGAATCTCTTCGCACTTTCCGAATAATATGAATTGACCGACGACGATCTTCGCCGCCGTTCTCGGCCAATAGCGATCGAGTGCCGCTTCAGTGGGGCAGCTAATAAGGGTGTGGGGGTGGGGGGAATATAAGCTCAAAGGCGCCTTCTTGTCGCGCGAGGACTATACGTTGTTCCGCGTACAGTAATGTCTCCCTTACTGACGCTCAGATTGTCCACTAGAATGGATAATTTGGGAAGAGGAGATACGATTAGTCGAGCCTTGCTGCTCGTTTTTATAATTGTGGACAATTTCTAACTATAAAAATAAACCGTATAATCGTATCTCCTCTTCCCAAATCGTCCACTTTTCTGCGCAATCTGACCGTCAATTAGAGAGACATTACTGTATCATGCTTTTCAATCGTATCGTATCGGTTTCTCGCGTTCGCAGTGTACAACAACATCGTCACCATGGTCCGGACGAGACAACGTTGCCCACCGTAACGAAAGTGTCGCATCATCTTGTTAAGAGGAAAACGTTTGTCGCTGGAAATTCCGCGACACCGTTTATTAATTAATCTCTCCACTCCAAGGGAGAACAAACGGAAGGGGATGACAAACGGTTCGCGGGGGAAAAGAGGTTTTGAATATCTTTAAACGACGAACGAGGAGATGGTCGCGACGGGAATATGATGGCGGACGCATTCATTTGACAGAGCGTGCGACAAGAGGCGGGTGTAGCGGTCTCTTGAAAAGCATTTTGGCGCGAGCGGCAAAGAGATCCCGAAAATCAAAGAGACGAGATGCGAGAGGGCCCGGCGTCGAGAGGCGTCGCGACGACCAACGTCCTCCCGCGTGCGACCGTATCACGACCATGGATTTCGCCGGGGTTTTTTTGTTCGATGCGCGGCATTGTATATTTGATTTACAGATACGGGAGGAGCATAGAAAACCGGCAAATATAAATAACCATTCCTGGTTCGTCGGCCTGTTTGTCCGTACATCTGTCGGTCCGGTCCCGTCCCGTCCCGTCCCGTCCCGTTGGTCCAGTCCGTATCCCAAGGGCTTTTAAGGAAATTGAAAGCGTCGAGCTGTTTGTTTCATGGATCTACACGGCCGTCCACGAGTTATCACCGGATAAACTACCGGTCAATGAAGCAAGACGTCATTGTCGTTCTGTGGTCAGCCTACCGAACGGTCGAACTGCACGCAATTCCAGCCTGCCTAGAGTTATTCCACCTATTCGAACCGTTTTTACGAGCCTCTGTTCTACCGTTTAACCTTTTGCGGTTTCGATTACTTTCGTTTTTCATCGGGGCACGTACCGGAGGCGGTATTTGTTCTGCTGCCTCGAACAAAAACCATTTCTCCGGTATGTGTATGTTAAGCAAGAAGCTTGGTTCTTCTCTTGCGGAGAAATGGAACCTCCCGAAATCGGAACTATTAACCCTTAACCGGACCAATGCCGCCATACGAGCGGTATTGTACTTTACTTACTGGGTCCAATGCCGCGCATACGGCGGCAAGAACCGATTTATTATTTTTATTGCTGTGATCGTTGTTACATGGTCTAGTAACGCGTTAAATATTGTGTCATGTCATTTTTACCCTGAATATATAACAATAAATTCTCATTAAAATATAAATATTTACTTTTCTAGGCTTGATTTAAAACTGTTTAGTATATTATATATAATAATATTTAGTATATATGTAGTGACCACAGTTTCTTTCCGTATGAAAAATAGCTTGGACCTGGCGGGAAGTAAGCATGTGTTACAATAAAAATTACGCAAAGTTTAAATACATGCGGTCTCACAATTTTTATGCAACGAGACGAATCTGTTCGTTTTAATGGCTCGGTACGGTTAACGTTAAATCGCAACGAAATGCATCGTACAATGAAATATTCATTTCTCTGCCATGGAGCGCGAGGTAGTCGAAGTCACAATGACTACCAGGAATCTTGTCCCGACTACTTTTTAATTGTTGCGACGGAGCAAAGAGTATTCCCGGCGGAAGGCTTTCGGACGAAAGAATGTCCGCCGCTCGAAAAGAAGGAACGCGACAGGAAACATCTGGTAAAATTACAGGGAAGAAACACTCGGGCGACGCCGGAGGGGCCAGGGGAAAGATCAGGATGGCGGATGTGAAATGAGTCAGTGGGGAAAGACCGTGACCTTGCGGCCTGCTCGCCGAACATTCGTTCAACGCGTGCCGATAATGCTGCCAGAATATTCGTCTACGTATGTAACGCATACCCATCGAACACATTACGCTGCGCGCACATATTGGGTTGGCAACTAAGTAATTGCCGATTTTATCAGTGAAATAAAAAATTTTTTTTTACTTGGAACGAAGTTCAATCTGTAATGTATTTTCCATTTTGTTCGATGACCTTTCGCCGTCTCTCCGACAACTTGAAAATTCCACGCTCGTAGAAAGTCTGATCCTTTTCGGCCAAAAACTGAGTTAAGCGAGATTTTACAGCGTCATCATCGTTAAAAGTTTTACCACGAAGGGAGTTGTCCAGGGATCGAAATAAGTGGTAATCCGATGGCGCGAGATCAGGGCTGTATCGTGGGTGTAACGTCAATTCCCAACCAATATCCATCAATTTTTGCCGAGTGGACAAAGACGTGTGCGGCCTAGCATTGTCCTGCTGGAAAATGACACCTTTACGATCGACCAATTCTGGTCGCTTTTCCTTGACCGCTGCATTCAATTTGTCCAGTTGCAAACATTCACGGATAATAAAAAATAACATAATAATAATAATAATAATTTTATAATATAATTATAATATATATAATATATATAATAATATATATATTATTATAATTATATTATATTATTATATATAATTATAATTATAATATTATAATATTAT